ATTGAATATGGGAGGGAGGGGGGGGGGAGGAGGAGGATGACAAGTTTCCATGTCCCATTCCACACAAGAGCATCATACTCCTCAGATATAGCTTGACGCCAGTTAGGACCTTTGAGGGCTTGGGTCAACGTGTGTGGTTCTAGTTGATGGGTCAAGGTGATGGTGGCAGTAAGATTAAGTTTTTGGATGGGTTTATGGATGTGGTTTTTAGCACGAGTGGTCTTGGTATGGGTGTTGGTAGGCGGGTTTGGAGGAGGGGAGTCTGGAGAGAATAGTAAGGAATTAGAGGGTGGATCGTGTGGGTTATTGTTGGTGTTGGTGGAATGTGTTGGGCTATTGGATGTCGGGGCTTGGTCTAGTGGGGTTTCGGTTACAGGATGTGGAGTTTCGGAGTATGTGTAGTGGATGGAGCACGTGGAGTGGTCATGTGTAGTGGATGGAGGACGTGGAGTGGTCAACCATAATGGGAAGAAATGACAATGATGGAAACCAATCTGGAAGTGTTTTTGGATTTGGTCGACTAAGATGACTGTGAATGGATTTTAATGGAAAGACAGATTCCACAAATTTGACATGACGGGATGTATAGATTTTGGAAGTGGAAGGATCAAGACAGAGATAGGCACTTTGGGTGAGGGAGTACCCAACAAACACACAAGGGATGGATTGACACTCAAGTTTATGACTAGAATAGGGACGAAGCCATGGATAGCATAAACAACCAAAGATACGGAGTTTTGTGTAGTTTGGTGGTGAGCGAAAAAGGGACTCATAAGGAGAGAAAAGGAAAAGTGTGGGTGTGGGCATGCGATTAATGAGATATACAGCGGTTGCAAAGGCATAGTTCCAATATATGAGCGGAAGTGAGCCGTGAGTGAGTAGAGACAGACCGGTTTCAACAATATGTCGATGTCGGCGTTCAGAGAGACCATTATGTTTAGGTGTATGTGGAGGAGATGTGAGATGAGAAATCCTATGACGGGACAGTAATTTATCTAATGCTTGATATTCACCACTATTATCGGCGTAAAGAGTGACAATGGAGTGTTTGAAGTGGTTTTCTACTAGTGCCTTGAAACGAAAAAAGATATTACAGACATGAGATTTCTTCTTTAATGGGTAATACCAAACATAACGTGTAAAGTGATCAACAAAAATAATATAATACTTGAAATCATCAACAGAATAAACGGGGAAGGTCCAAACATCCGAAAATATGATTTGTAAGGGGTGAGATGACACAATCGTAGATGTAGAAAAGGGAAGCTTTTGACTTTTATTGCTTAAACATGCATTACAATGAGAGTGTTGTGACTTAGAATACAGTAAAGAAAATGTTGACATAATATGCTGAAGAATAGGCACTGATGGATGACCTAATCTGGAGTGCCACTCGCAGGAAGTGGTCTTGACGCTGGAAAAGACAATGAGCGGAGATGACAATGTTGGAGAGGAGGTTGGCCTCTCATAGACATCATCTTTAGTGTTTCCCGTCAAAAAGATTGCCCCCGTGCTCAGATCCTTTACATGAAAGACAGTGGGTAAGAATTCAATAGAAACATGATTAGTATTGCAAAATTGATAGATAGAGATAAGGTTCTTTTTTATGTTAGGTACGCAAAGAATATTACGTAAATTAAAGGTATGAGTAGGAGTAGGAAGGGTGATGGAACCAGTATGGGTAATGTGAGGACCCGAGCCATCGCTGATCATAACATCATCAAACCCTGCATAAGGAGTGTGAAGTGAAAGATTATTCAAATCCGTGGTGATATGGTTCGACTCCCCACTATCAAGTAGCCATGTGGGGGTGTCAGTGGTGTCAAGAAATGCAAAGTGTGCACTCGGTTGCCAAGGAGAAGCATGATGTGGAGCCTGTGGGCATGTTGCTAAAGGAGCTAACGAGGATTGGGTGTTGATAAGTTGATAAATAGGACATCGTTTGATAGCTTGTCCTTGAGCACCACATCCTTGGCAATGCCCAAGATATGGACGTGGTGGAGGATGAGGATTACGAGAAGCATTGGATTGTTGATTATAAACGATGTTTGTGGAAGGGTGCCAAAAATGATTGTTGCGTTGATTGACTGGATTGGCGGTGGCCGGAAAGGGTGATGGTGGTGCAAGTGATTGTTGGAGAGAAGCTTATTTGTTGATGAGTTTTTCATGAATTTCATCAAAGGAGATCGGCGTTTCACGAGCATTAACTGTGTCAACAATTCCTTTGTATTCCTCGCCAAGGCCGTCAAGAATTTTATTAATGAGATCTTCTTCATCAACAGGTTTTCCAAGAAAAGCAAGTTCATCAACTCGGTTCTTGATAAATTGCATATACTTGGAGATCGTCTTGGAGCCCTTGACACAGTTTTTCAATTGGTCCTTGATCTGTTTGATGTGACACGGGATGGTTTGGCATAGGTATTAGCCAAGGTGGTCCAGGCCTCCTCAGAGGTGGTGTTGCGGGCAAGAAGAGGTTGGATGAGTAGTGAGACTACACCAAGGAGTGCACTGAAGAGGAGATGATCTTGGCACTTCCATGTTGTGTAGGTTGGATTTGGAGCTAACTTACCATCAACTGTGACTGTTGGTGTGGGACTGGAATGAGAACCATCGAGAAAGCCATAGAGGTCATATCCTTCTAACAGATTTCTAATTTGGAGGCTCCACGTGATGTAGTTGGTGGTGGTCAGTTTTGTGACGTTTGTAGTGTTGATGGTAACAAGAGGATTATTTGGGTCTTATTTAATTTGAATGGTGGTATGACCAGAGGTGTCTTCGGAAGCCATTTGAAGAAGGAAGTAGAGAATTTTGAAAGAAGTAGAAGAGAGAAAGGGAAGAAGACAGGTCAGAAATGTGGCAGCTCTGATACCATGAAGAGATAGAGATACAATGGCTTGTTTTTCATTGAATAAAGGTGAGGTTTTTATACACGTACAAGATGAGAATTGATAGTCAATCATATATTCTAAACTTAGCTAATTACCTAATCTATGGGATTTATTGTCAATCAAAATATTTACAATGGCTAATGGGATAATTACACAATTAATTCCTCTAATATATTATGCTAATAATGAAGAGAATTTTGAGTTAAACAAATAAAAAGATTGAGGTGAAAATTTCTATTTACTTTGTTGGGCTCAAAATAAATTTGCAATTGAAAGCCAACAGGCAATCATTTGGATCGCAATTTTTCTAGGCAATTGAAATACTTTGTTGTTATCCCGCATTGAAAATTTTGCTCCAATTTGAAGGGATTGAATCTAGGGAAAAATTCATAAATAAAAGATTAAGTATGGTACATTTCAAAATTAAAAAACAGAGTTTCAAACTTCAAAAATCAGATATTTTAAAATTTTACTTATAAGTTAATTTCATAAATATATATTTTACTAATTAAATATATTAAGGCAACAATTCTATATAATTTGATCATAGTTATCTAGTTAATTAGTTACAGATTAATTTTTTTGGCATAACTTATCAAACTATTGGTCATTACTTATTTCTCGATCACAAATTAAAAATTTTATATGTTATAGATTATTTTTCAATCATGAATCAAAAATTTTGTAGGTCGCAAATTATTTATCGATCACAAAATCAATAATTTTATTGGTCGCAACTCACAAATTATTAGATTAATTGGCCATTATTAATTTTTCAGTCACAACTTAATCAATTCTGAGTCACAGACACAATTTTTAGCTCAAATATTACAAATTAACCAATTATTAGTCACAATCAACTAAATAATTGGTTACAAGCATCTAACCCCATCTCATCCCACCCACAACCATCGCCACGACCACTATAACTGCCATCATTATCACCATTAAATGTACCCTTTTTTCCAAGTAGTTCTTGAACTGCTTTCAAAGTAAAAGGGCACAAAAAATTATCAATATTAGAGCAGTAGTGTGAGGCTTTGCTGACAGTGGAACTGCCTCAAAAACAACATATTAATTCTGTTCAGAGAATGAACTGATACTCTAAACAAAAAAAAAGATATACAAAAACATAGTGACTTACCTACACGCTCATTCGATGTTTCTTCACTGACTGTAGAGTCAGATCTAGAGAAGCATTGCATTGCATCGCACCCAACCACCCACTGCACATAGCACCGCATCCAATCACCCATTGCACACCCCCATTTGTAGATTCACCACCGCACCCAAAAATGGGGGAAATGACCCCCGATCTGCAGCACCCATGGAGAAATGCTGCCTGGTGCCTCCCTGCCTGCATTGCCGTCAAACATCACCGTTCAACGCTTCGTCGCATTCACTGCATCACCACACACAGCGAGCTACTGAATCTACCACCATCGCCACCAATAAAACCATAGCCAGACTGGATCCAAACATAACCTCCACTACCACTGGATCCAACAAGCCACCAAACACCACCACCACTACAGCCCCACCCAACAAACCATGTCTTCAAAGCAGTTGCGGGGCCTTCACAACGATAGCGGTGGCGATGACTGTATCTTCGTTGAAGAAGAGTAAGGGGGATAGAGAGAGAGAGAGAAACGAGACGAAAGAGGGATAAAGAGAGAGGAATGAAATGAAAAATTAATTAGAATTTGTGATAAAATTTGTATTATAATATTTAATATTTAAATATAAAATATTTGGAAACATCTAACCTGATTTTAGAATTTTTAAAGTGGGGTGAGATATAATTTCCATTTGAATTTATAAAAGCACTGAGCAATACATTGTTCATTTATGGGCATTTCACTTTAAGTTATGAGCCCAATAATAAAGTTAAAAATTAAAAATAAAAAAAACTTGAAAAAACATGACAATCATTATCGGTTCATAGGTTAACTGTCTAACTGGTTGGTTTAGCCATTTTTTAATGATTGTGTTATATCTGATTATTGACATATAATTCGCTTGGCTTTAGGCCCTGATCTCGATAGAATAGGGTTCGATAGACTGAGTCGATTTTGATAACATTGATTTTAACCATCAAAAGACTCTAAATGGTATCTCTATTGTGTTAAATTTGGTAATAACTTGTACGAATAGTTTAATACTTTAAAATTTTCTGCAAAAATCTATAAATATCATTAATTATGTCGCACTGCCTCATTGTTGACAGTAGACCCGTTTGTTGACACTAGGATATGTCAATGCTCATCGTTATATGTATACTAAAAAATACACAGTTTGCATATTTTTGTAAAATATACTATGTATATGTCAATTTGGTAAATATTTACAATATAAAATCAAGTAAAATACAATTTAAAACTACTGTAAAATTAAACATAATTTGGAAAAATACCATGATAAATAATAAGTTAAATGGACAACTAATCAAATTCAATTTCTTAATTGTGAGACCATAAATGAAAAGAGACTACAAATAATGTTATAATCTTACAACGTACTAGAATACAACATTACGGGCCTATTTGACATTACTTTTGAAAAGTCTAAAGAAGTTTTTAGATCCATTTGACTAATTTTATGAAAATATTTTTTTAGTTAGAAGAGTTTTTAAAGGGAACTAATCTAATGTGATTTCCTATAAAAACACTTTTTAGATCGGAAGCTCTTTTAAAAATTAATTTTTAAATTTGATTTAATATAATTTCCTCTAAAAACACTTTTGAAATAGAGAAATTTTTTAAAAATTGGTTTGCAAACAACCTCCAAAAACTCTCATACGAAAAAATCAAATAAAATAGAATTAAAAAAAAAATCATGTCAAATGGACAATGCATCCAACACAATATAATCTAACAGAATATTAAGCCCATGTGTGACAATCTTTATTCGAGTAATATGGAGTTTTGAAGAGTGAATGTTTGGAATGTATGGTTAAATATTTTGGATTTTCGACAGAATATTATATTGTACGAATGTGTAATTAAAAATGAGTATGAAAAAAAAAATGAAATAATAATTGTCAAAGGGAGGCTAAATTAGACCGTGTGTATGGGTGGCCTACTTCCGTTAATTCAATTCTTGTCTGCACATTTGGCGATAATCTAACCTATTTGAATGGAACATTCTTGGTATACATACACGCACACGTGTAAACTCAATTCAGGTTTATGAATAGGAAATTATTCAAGTTTATTTATGAGGAAATTATTTAGGTCAACTTTTTTAAATAAAATTTTTAATTAAATGAAGTACTCTCAAAAAATTATTTAAATATATTCAGAGCATATTTGGTACAGCTTAAAACCCAATGAAAATCAATTTTTTGACCGTTATTTTATTATTTCAACCGTTATTTTTCAATTCTTCTCTCACAGGTAGGACACACTTTATTTCTAACGGTCAAGAAATCAATTAACAAAATCTCTACCAAACAAACACTCAAAAGCAACTTCTTAACTTTAGTTTTTGACTTTTCAAAAAAACATACTAGACAGATTCTTCATCGTTGGTTCAAGTGAGAACTGATAGAGTTTACTTGCTCACAACGAATCACTAATGGGACAACTGAGTTTTCGTATTTAAGATATGATCTAAGAAAATATTTTAAAAAATGTTATGCATAGTCAGCGTAAATATTTATGATTTAATTAATTAAACGATCGGTTAAAGTGTGAACAAAAATAAACATGCCAAGAAATAATTCAACGGCTGGTTCAAGTGTGAACAGATAGACGCATGCCAAGAAATTCGGTCTACGCATTCTTGTTTATATTTATTTGTTTCTTGAAAAGTGGGAGACAACCTTTTTGGATATCGACATATTTCTTTGGAATCTGGCTAATGCGAAGCGACAAGCACTAGGGTCAAATGACTAAAGCAGGTTGGCCACTTCGTTAGCGTTTATTACTTCATTTAGAGGACAATCGAATAAGAGCTTATTTGGTACAGTTAAAAAATCAATTAAATTTCATATTTTGATCATTATTTCATTATTACAGTCGCCATTTTTGAATTCTTTTCTCACAAATAGAACCGACTTTATCTCTGACGATCAAAAAATTAATTATTAAAATCCCTACCAGACAACCACTAAATCCCGTAAGTGTATGGCATCATGAACAAGTAATATAATGATGAATAAATTATTGTTCCTACGAGAACAAGTACTTAATTTAGGATCAATTGATATTAGCCTTAATCGAACTAAGTTTTGATTATTAATTCTACACTAATTTATCTAATTAAACTAACTATTCTATTGAACAATTTTTGAAAGCTTTTGTAACACTTAATAGAATTATTACTACGACTTCAAATCTCCTTTATTAATCCATTTCAATGCAATTCAATAAGAAGATAATAGGGATAAATTCTTGTTGATCAATGTTCTTAAGTTAATTAATAATCCCTTTCGAATAGAATTAAATATAATATCTCATTTGATCAGTTTATATCTTTATGAAAGATGCGACTATGAAAATATACATTAAAACCACTAAAACATCTATAAAAATCATGCAAAGTATAGTCATATATCTCTATCTCACATCGAACTTTATAACAATTTGTTCTAATATCCAATTGTCTATCTCGATAATAATAGAAGTCCCAAACAATTCAAGTTCAAGGAAATTGAGATTTTTATTTTAGAAATTGGATCATCAATGTCTCAACTATGGAAAATTTAGCCTATCGTTATAAAATTAAAAGAAATCATAATTAATTGATAAAATATCACCTGAATTATTTATAAATGAAGAAAAA